ACTGCAGTCATATAGTTTTGTATACTCTGCGCGGTTAGAATACAAGGAGACTCAGGACAAACTACCTTGTCCTGTTTGTAGCTTGAGCCACAGGGAAGTCTTCTTAAGACCAAGAGTGTTGGGAGCAAATGAATGAAGGCTGTTCTACTCCATGGATCAAGTGAACCTTCTAATTGTAACCAGAGACCTACCACAAATGCTTTCTCCTTTCTGAAGACTTCCCTGCCATCCTCAAGACACACAACTGCTTATTGCTTTCTACTTTCTAATAGAACATTTTTTTCCGTTAGCATGGGCTATTATCATTTATTATAAAACTGGGCTCTTGAGGGCAAGGATCTTTTCTTATTCATTTTTTTATCCCAAGTATCTAATACAGTACCCACCACATACAAGGTGCTGAATAATTATAATAATTGTTTCTTGAATGAATAAATAAATATCCAATTAAAATCAAAATTAGGGTTTTCTTTTTTTCATTTCATACTTTGCTTCTTTTTTTTTTTTTTTTTTTTTTTTTAAGACTGAGCTTCACTCTGTTGCCCAGACTGGAATACAGTGGAACAAACTTGGCTCACTGGAACCTCCGCCTCCTTGGTTTAAGGGATTCTCCTGCCTCAGCCTCTTCAATAACTGGAATTAATAGGCATGCATCACCACACTCAGCTAATTTTTTTGTATTTTTAGTAGAGACGGGATTTCAACATATTGGCCAGGATGGTCTCGAACTCCTGACCTCAAGTGATCCACCTGCCTTAGCCTCCCAAAGTATTGGGATTACAGGCATGAGCCACTGAGCCCAGACAGTACTTTACTTCTAATGTTTTATCTTAAAATGCTAAATTACTATTAATCTTGTTCTAAAAGAATTTTTATGCTTTCAATGCACTGGATTCCAAAACATAAAAATTCTAAAACTCGCTATACAACTTTCCATTCTTAATCTGCCAGTCTTAGAATTTCTTTCCCCAAGGTATCCAGTAGAGTTGAAACTAAACATACTATATATTATTTGAAAAGTCCTAAGTTTACTTAACCTGGCAAAGCAATTGACATACAGGTCAATTCTTTTCTCATTTACTTTTGGCTGTAGAAAGCAGGAAAGACAGCATCAGGGCATCCTGCACTTCAGTTGTATGACATTCAATAAATCATACCTCAAAATGTAATAATACATTCTGTTTCAGGCTGTTGTATGGATTAGAGTAAAGTCATGTCAAGCATCCAGCTCATGTTCAGAATACTATCGGGCTTTTTGTGTTGTTTTTTACATTCCCTGGCTAGTCCAAGACAGCATCATTTCTCTCGTAAACCGCTGTAATAGCTTCTAATCGGCCTTCCTGATTTCACACTTGTCACCCCAGACTCCACACAGTAGCCATAATGATGCTTCTGAAAATGTAAATCAGTTATGCCACATTCCTGCTTAACCCCATCCAATGACTTCCCGTGGTCCTGCCTGTTAGGGCTGACATGAAGACTCCACCCCACTCCAATTTCATCTCCTAATGTGACATTCCTAATATTACATCACCAGGCTTCTTGTGGCGCCTGAAACATTCCAAACACAATCCAGCTTGGAGCCTTGCTATATCCAAAGATCCCTTGCCTGAAATGCGCTTCCCTTCACTTCCATCACTTTAAGCCTCTGCTCACACATTTCTTTATTCTCTCAGCTTCATTCCAGTCACTATGTTTTATTCACTGCGATTTGCCCAAGATCTACAGCAGTGCCTGATACACTGTGAGCCTCTAAAATCTTTGCCAAATTAATAAATATCTTATTGATAATAATTTCTTAAAATCCTAGTTAGCATGCAGGAGAACTATCAAATCATGGGAAAACATTTTTCTTTATCACAAACTTAAAAATAAGAATAGCTAATATTTATTGAATACTTACTTGCTGTACAAACAGGAAGTACCTAATTTGGACCTCATACAAAACTTACATTATAATCATTGTGCCCATCTGGCAGCTTAAAAAGGCTGAGATTCAGCGATGTTACGTAATTAACCCCAACACAATTAGGAAATGATAGAGTCTGGTATTGAACTGAGGCGTTATGGTTCCAGATTCTGTCTTAATCAATACAATAATTTCCAAACATAACTTCACAACTAAAATACTCTAGTATCCTCACAACATTCATTTTCTTGTAGGGTTCATAAAATCATTTTGATCTACTGTTACAATATGTCAAATGATTTGTTATAATTCAAAGAGTATTTTTTTCCTATCATGTTGGGAAGGGTAAGAAATAAGACAGAACCAGCCAGGCGCAGTGGCTCACGCCTGTAATCCCAGCACTTTGGGAGGTTGAGGCGAGGGGATAACAAGGTGAAGAGATCGAGACCATCCTGACCAACATAGTGAAACCCCATCTCTACTAAAAATATAAAAATTAGCTGGGCGTGGTGGCGCGCACCTGTAGTCCCAGCTACTCAGGAGGCTCAGGCAGGAGAATCTCTTGAACCAAGGGGGTGGAGGTTGCAGTGAGCAAAGTTCAGGCCACTGCACTCCAGCCTGCTGACAGAGCGAGACTCCATCTAAAAAAAAAAAAAAAAAAAAAGAAGAGAAGAAAAAGAAATATAACAGAACTTATTTCTTAGTCTGCCCACACTTGATAGTTCATCTAGGTCTGAGGAGATGCAGCTCCCTGTCTTAACAGAAACTGTGTGAACTGCTCCTGTTCATCAATCATGTAGTGGCTGCTTACTCGTCCTCAGGCCACATGTCTCTCCACATGGCATCTGGGTCTTCCCCTCAGCAAAGCTAAAATGTGCAATGACAGATGAAATGTCTGCTTTTATTTGGATGTGAAATTCAAACCTAAGTTGGAATGCCTCACTGTTGGAAAACAAGCTTAAATCATTAATGAGGCAGAAATTTTATGCCTAGTTTGTCCAATTGACCAAAAAAAAAAATAATAATGCATGAACTATTTAACGATCATGGCATAAAGGTAACACGTGGAATTATATAAACAATCATTCTCTTTCTCAACTTTTTCTAAGGATTTTCCCATTTGCATATTACTTTTTGTCTAAGTGATCTTACTACTTTGCTGAGAAAAAGGGTAAAATGTAGAAAATTAATTAAAATGACAGAAATATCTGTAAAGTTAAGTAACAAAAATTATGAACAGAAGTGTTCAACAAAGAAAACACGGTACAGGCTTTGCTGATAATGAAATTAAGTCACTCCGGATGTAGGAAGGAAATAAAGAGAGAAATTGGTGGAGTAGAGATTAAGAACTAGGTTGATTGCCCTGACAAAGGTAATTGAATGACTTTAATTCTCTGCACTTCAAAAGACTTATTATAAAATTAATCTAACCATGTAGATTATCCTTCCAACTCAAGTTCATCAAATTGTGGTGCTACATCTGAAATTTTTGAACCACCTACCAGAATAGGATTCAAGAATTCCAACAGTCTCTGAAAAATTATGCAAAATTTTGTGCACACATTTAATACTCATTTTACTGGGAAAGATGCACATCTTACATGAATTTTTCAAGGCAATTTATGACCCAATACAGATTTAGAAAAAGCCTATTCAACATAATTGGCATGAATCATTGACATTTCTATATTTGTACACATACAAGTTTATATGGAAGACAAGTTTTGTAAGATATAAGACCAAGACTTTTCTTTTTGGGACGAAGCCATCCTACTACCTAGAGGAATGTCTGTTCATCCTCTATCAGTCTTCAAATTGCCAGTCTTAAAATTGCTGGTTTCAGTAATTTTTTGAAGGAAAAGAGGTATTGCTTCTGATCCCTATTCTCTTTCAAAGTAACAGAATTTCTAAAACGGGTGTTCATAACCCATTTAATTGAATATCAATGCATAGTAATCATGTCTTTCAATGCAAGTGAAAAACTTGATTAGGACTAAGGCCTGTTGAGAAACTAAAAGCTAAAAGGATTATAGCCATCTATTTATTATTCGGAATAAAACCAAACTAAAATGTAAAGTCCATGTTAGGAAATCTAACATAATTGTACTTTAATTAAAAAAAAAAATGTATCAAACAGGACATCGTTTTAAAAAATTATGTCCTAGGTAATTGTCAAGTTTGCTTACTAAGTTGTGAGCCCTTCTTGGACCTCTTTTGCAAAGCTCAGGTGAATAACCACCTTATTTATGGCAAAGTAACTGTCCTAAACCAAAGACTCATTGATATGCATTGATTCACAAAAGTACTAATAGCTCAAAATGTACCCCCAACACCACCACGGCCACCTCTGCTGCTCTATAGCCACCATTTATTGAGAGCTGACTCAACTCTGCTGGGCATTTCACATCTATTTTCTCATTTGTTCTCACAGCAATCCTTCAAGAAAAAGATTGAACTGAAGCTGCATTTTAGATGAGATAAGCAATTATGACCTAGACCTCCTTCCTAGGATGAACACTTTTCCTATTATCCAACCCTTCTAGAGAAAGGGGAGAACTGATTTAATTTTTTAGACAGGTGTGCAGGCTCTGAGACATTTTGTCATTCTGCTAGCATATTGGCTCTTCAGAGGGATCGATTAAAAAGCAATTGAGCCACAGAACCATTGGAGTAGGTTTCCTGAGTACAGAAGAGGAGGGAGCTCATTCAATCATGCATTATATTAGAAATTAGAACCAATCCATAGATGAAAAAAGCAATTCATATCCTATAGGAAGGAGAAATAAACACTATGAGATTCAGAAGAGCTTTGTCCTATAATATTAGAACTAGAAAGTATCTTAGCTCACTGCTTTTCTTGCATCCTTTTATTAAAGGCTATATTTTATATTTGTATGCTTTATTAACTACTAGATATTTTCAACATTTCCTTCTAAAAGAAGAATCAGGTAAGTCAGGCACTGTGCCCAGTTTAACTTGTACTATAAAAGCTGGGGTAGGAGGACTTCCCTTTGCCTCATATAAAATACAGAAAAATATAAGAATTCTTATTTGCAAAAGGACAACAAACGATTTTATATTACCTTAGTACTTATTACTTATCCAAAGTCATGTTAGTAAAGTATGTTTTAAAATCTTGGATACAGATCGGTACAACTGAAAGGTATTATTATAGAGATCATTATAGACCCTAGAATATAAAAAGTTGAAAAAAATAAAAAAGATTAAAACAATATCCATTCCTCACTATGTAAGTGAGATCAAATTCATCCATTCTCAATGGGTTTAGGAATTTCAGCCTGGAAGAACATGACACAGGCTGAGGAGACTTGAAAGCAAATCAGCTGAAACTATTACTATGGTCTCAAATGATTCACAGAGAGCAGGAAAGGGGCTTTAAGAGCCGAGATACACAAGTGCAACTGATCTGAAAGAAATAGAAAATAAATTGTATAAACGGCAAAGTTGAGAACTTAGTATTGATTTTGGGCAAGGCTCTATACCTGGGCCGTGAGAAGATATAACAGAATCATGTATCAGGTTAGTTTGGCAAGCTATTAAAATATCTTCCAACTCTGAAAATACAGACTTATCAATAATAGTTTGGATTCTCTGGATAAACATGTCCCTAGAATGTAGAAGAGAAATTCCTCAGACTAACATAACTTAACAATTGCCTGACAGCAGTACAGCCAAGTGGCTAAGAGAGTTACTCTGGACTTGATTAAAGCGACTTCTGCTCTGCTACTTATTCCAGGTTCATAAACCATTGTTGAAACCTAAAGCCAGAGAGTTTGCAATTTGGAATTTTTTTTAACTTTAGAAAGAAACTACGGTGAATATTCCATATATTTTATTAACATTTCCAGCATCCAGTACTCAAACACATTATTTCTACAGTGACTATTCATACTAAGTATAATAAATAAAGGCTTTATATGTCCTTACCTCAATTTAGGTCAGATTGTTGGCCTCTAAAATAGTTCAAGTCTGTGGAGGGTAGAATTCTAAAATGAATCCCAAGATACCCTAGTGCACGTGTACTCCCTGCTGTGCATGTCCTACATAATAATCCCCTCCCCTAGAGTGTGCGTAGGGCCAGTGAATATGATGGATATCATTCACATTACGTTATATGGCAAAAGCAAAGGGATTTTTGCAGATGTAATTAAGGCCCCTAATCAGTTGATACTAAGTTAATAAAAAAGGAGATTATCTGGGGTGGACCTTTCCTAATCTTATGAATGCTTTAAATGAGGATCTAGTAATCAGAGACTATAAGGAAAAGAGGCTTTCTCCTACTGACTTTACAGAAGCAAGCCACCATGAGTTTTACAGCTGCCAAAATATTTTTTACCAACAACCCATAAATTTGGAAGAGGATCCCAAAACTCAAATAAGATAATAAGAGGCTGACTGGTGAGACCCTGAGCTGAAGATCCTTTCCAGGTAATGCCCAATTCCTGACCTATGGAAACTGTGAGGTAATAAATGCCTATTGCTTTAAGCTGACAAGCTTGTGATACTTGGTTAGGCCTCATGGAAATGCAAGGAAACCCAATCCAAGGTTAGGTCAACTTTTGCTAACAATTAGTTAGGAAAACATTTTAGTTCTTAGAGATTTCTGAATTTTGAAATTGTGAATAAGGAATTGTATGCTTGTATCGTATGACTTGATAAAGTATTTAATTGTTACGAGCTTTAGTTTTCTTATCTTTAAAAGTAAGCCAGTTACCTCATAGGGTGTTGGTAAGAACTCAATAAAATGGTGTATATAAGACACTTGATATAAAACATGAAATTGCCATCCCACTGCAAACTTATTATTATTTTCTACCCTTTGCTCTAAACCAGTGATCTCAATACTAGCTACACATTAAAATCACCAGGACAGCTTTAAGAAATGGCAGTGCCCGGCCCCACTCCACATCAATCATACTGGGATCTCTGGTTCAGGACCAGTACCACTGCAGATTTAAATCATCTAAGATGACTCTAATGTTCTCTCAGATTGAGAATGACTAGTACAAATACATTGCAGAACACCTTGGCTTTTTTAAATTTGGTAGCATTCAATGGGTATTTCTGCATAACTCACCATCAAGAAAGAGAATATTCAATTGCTAAACAAAATATGCCCTCCACTTTACATAATGAATTTTTTCCATTATATATCCCTAGTAGATTCGTTTAGTAGATATGGGTTTAGTAGGTAGCTTCTTACAGTATAACTACTTTTGGAGAACTGACAAATCACAGGCCTAGCCCCCAAAACAAAAGACACCAAACCTCGCATCCCAAGTGCACCAAACTCAAGCCCTTTCAGAGCACATCACTTTCCTTGTTCCCCGAATAATGACTCCATTTGATTTCTACTATTATCAGACTGAATATAGAATGCACCCTGGTCATATATGGCAGTAAAACTCTGACCCACAATCTACGAAGCAACCAACCTGGAAATACAATCCCAATGTTTTTATTTATGTTTTATTCTTTATTTTTTTATTTTTTTGGTCCCTGCTTCCAACTCAGAACCAACCAGAAAATCTAACTATGCCCCTCCGACCAATCACATACCCAGTTTACCTCCAGGTTCTCATGCCAACAATCCCAATCAGAGCACACCGAGATCCTTCATCTGCCTTTCCTTCTCCTCTGTTTTACTTACTTATTTGTTTTTTTTAATATTGACAGGATCTCACTTTGTTGCCCAGGCTGCTCTCAAATTCCTGGGCTCAAGTGATCCTCCCTCCTTGGCCTCCCAAAGTGCTGGGCTTACAGATATAAGCCACTGCACCCAGGCTCCTGCTTTACTTTGGTTTTCTACCAAATGCCTGTGACAATAGCTATTATGCAAAGCTTTGAATAAATTGCTCTGTTTTAATTTGTGTGGTTTTATTTATAATTGCCACAAAAATGTAGGTAAAGGAGGAACATGTTCTTATAAGCACAGCTCCAATTCCTGTTACACTTTTTTATCTATTCATGTAATTTAACTGAATGTTTAAACTTTGCATTGAAGTATAATATCCAGAAAAGGGCACCAAAGTATAAAACTTGGTGAATTTTCACAAACTGAAACACCTGTATAATTAGCACCCAGGTGCAAGAACAGGATATAACTAGAGGCCTTCCTTTGTGCTCCCTTCCAGGCACCACAGCCTCCCCAAGACAAGGGACCACTATGCTGACTTCTAGCATCACAGGGTAGATTGGCCTGCTTTACATTTTATTGAAATAGAATCAGAGAGTAGTATCCACATTTGGTGTCTAGTTTCTTTCACTCAATGTTATTTTTGAGTTTTGTCCTTATTTTTGCATGTTTCCCTTGCAATGTGACACTTCAGTGTAATGAATGCTCCACAAATTTTTATTTTACATTTTATTCTTAATGGACATTTGGGTTGTTTCTAGTTTGGAGCTATTGAAAATTGTGATGCAGTGAACATTCTAGTGCTTGTCTTTTGACAATCTGCGTATTTCTGCTGGAAATGTATCTAAGACTGCCTGTGCTTCACTTTGATAAATATGAAAATTATTCTTTAATTTAAAAAAATCACAGGAATCATGTATTGGTCCTCAACTAAAACTAAAGAAGGAATTTAGTAGCAAATCAGGTACAGCCTAAATCCTGTATTTTATTTCATGGTAATGCTATTTTAAAAGATCATATTAAAAACGTTTATCCTACAAAAAAAGCAACATTGCAGGTATTATGCCATTTTCATTTCTTCTAGAAATATACAGACTATCTTATGTAAAAGGTAATTTACATCTACTGGAAATATATATATCTCCGAGAATACCAGTATAAGAAAAGCATCCTTGGCTTTCTTTTTGCTTAGTATAAAAAGAGAAAGAAGCTTGGATTTTAGGAAGCCTTGAATATAAGCAGGACAAACTTCTCCCTTACATAAGCTGCCTGAGGCAAGGGCCAAGTCAGATTCATCTTTATAGTCTCACATCTGTACCTCTGATACATGAAGAGTCTGGCTAAATGTTTGTGGAATAAATGAATCCCGAAAAAGCCATGTCAGCAAATGTTCCTCTTGAAATGTTCTTTTAATGAGCTAGTAGGACGCTTGATAACATTCATTAAATCAGCCTCCCTAGCCCTTCCTTTTGTTGTTTGTGCTTCTGGCCTTAGAGCTTAGCACTGGGAACCTGCCCTCAGGTCGTGCCCTTCCAAGGGGAGGCTGGAAAGGGCTTGAACCAAAAAAGAGAAAAGAAAGCAAATGTTTACATTTTACCTGTTCTGGGAACACCAACTGCTCACCTCGGCATTCAAATAAGTGCCCTTCAACCCCAAGGGAGGATGGAGAGAGATCTGCTATATTATGAATGTTGCTACAATAGGGCACAAGAAGGAGGAAGAGGAAACACAGGGGAGCCACCGAGCCTGGCAGCTTCCAGAGGCCTCAGAACATTCACATTTGCAGCTGTGTTAGCCGCTTGTTTAGTGGCTGACATTCACCATTCACATTTTTGAAGAGCTATTTAGATCAAATTTTAAAGGTATGTTTTGAGGGGACTGAACACATACCACCATGGTAAACCACCTCAATCTTGTAGATTTTTCATAAATTGCCATTTAAAAAAATCACATTGTATAGTAAGCAGAAATCAGACTGAGGGGGAAAATGTACTAGATGGGATTATTTTTAAAACTGTGCTGACGTTTATTATGCACTTTCCCTCTTCACGGTGCATCCCATAAGGAAAGAGCAAAATCATAAAAATATTAAAGGAGCAGTATCACCCCAACTTCCACCATCATAGCCCAATAAATGCTTACATTTTTTCCTAAGTATTGTAAAGTCTTTGTTCAGATGCACAATTAGAAAAATAATGGTAATCATGATATTACCATTGATTTGAAGTCATGTTATGCATTTAATTGACTTTTTACATTTTACTCTTCCCCAAGGAACACTGACCATATTGTAACCAAGTCTTCATAATATTATTTTTTAAATTATGTAATACCCTACCCACAATAAAGTATAATTCTGTTTTATTACTGTGTGACATTTTGACCACAGAAAGTTTTTTACTATTCCATCTTTGTGGCTTTTTAATATTTTTCCTACTTCTAAAATTATTTTCTGAGAATAAATACTCAGCAATAGGAATATGAGCCGCAAAGTTTGCGTATATTTGTTGTTTTTAAAATGAGTTTCCTTTCCAAAATAATTTTTGCCAGTTTTACAAATTTAAATAGTCAGAATACTAAAATGTGAAACAAATAGCACCCCAATTTAGGAAATCATTCTAATTTGGCTTATACCCATCACATTGCTTACCGCCATCTATAAAGATTCATCTGGATAATGCTTTCATTAAATGATGCATATTTTAAAGTAACAAATGTTCATCTTGTTGTGTGAACTTGGCAAGTCTGAAAATCACCCATTTTCAACAGTAAATTGAGGTAAGATCTCCATAGAGAAAAAGAGTAAAAAGCTAATCTTAGTTGAAAGTAGAACATATGCCAAAATTTGTACTATGGACTTTCTCAGTGTCATCTAATTTAATGCTGCAAAGTAAATAATAATTGTCCCCATTTTTACAAATTGAGACTCGATGATATTAAGACTTGCTGAAGGTGACATAGATTCAGGGTAAAACACAGATGGGGTTGTTTCTACTACAACATTCTAAATACACTAAAAAAAACTAATTACACAAATACTTCAGGATTGCTTTCATGCAGACGTGTCCAAGCATTGAAAATTGGCTAGCAAATTTCTTGTAACAGGGAAGCAATTAACTGATTATTTGAAAAAATACTATACTTTTTTGACTTTGGGTTAATTATAAAGAAGAATCACTTCATAAAACTTATTTTATGTGAAAGAATTAATTAAAAAGCATTATATAGTGATTTCTATATAAAACTATAGAAATAAGTTATTTGAAATAAGAACATTATTTTATTCTTGACATATCACTATTTTCACAGCATGAACATTTCCACAACGTTCCACAAGTGTTCACAAATACTATTTTCCTTTTTGTCAGTTTATTGCTGAAAAGCAGTATACATACAGAAAAGTATATAAATAATTTTTAACAAGGTAAACATATTCATATGATGTATTCACATCAAAAAACAGAAATTACCATTATACCAGAAATATCCCTCATGCTTCTAACACCAGAGATTAGTTTTGCCTTCACAGATTTTTTTTTTAATCTAGCAAAGCTCTGATAAATTCTTTGTGACCTTTATTGAAGTATTCATTTAATTGCTCCTACCTCTTCCATTTCTTCTCTGAAGATAGACGTTTATCCCATGAGATCAAGTAAAGTCGACCTGATGAAAATCGTAATATCAAATTGGCACTGGTAGGGACAACCTTTGAATACCTATCAGTTGGCACATATTATCCAAGATCTTTCTTTCCCACTGTTACAACCATATCAAAACTAAAAAGATTATGTTACACTAAAACAACTCACAAAGAGTAGTTATATTTGCATAACAGGATTTATTCCTGCTTACTTCACTACCATCTGTTTTCATATTCTAAGTCAAAAGATTTATACATTTAACAATCTTATACAGCTTTTCACATGCTATTTTGGAAAGCAATTGGCCCAAATCCTGATTATTTTTTCAAGTATATAAAGTTGTTTCATAGGTAGAATACAAACCCTCAAATTCAACATTTTTTCCAATATAAATAATTTAAATTCCTTTCACAACTGTGAAAAGAGCAATTGCTTCTTCCATTTATGATAAATTATTAATTGAAGTATACATTCAAATATATACTTCCTGATATCAACTTCTTTAATCCTTATTTAGAACATAAAACACTAAACAAAGGAGAAAAATCTTCAATAATTTACTTATATTAATGTTTAGTTTCTCTGAAATGGTTCAAGATGCTTCCCCTAATGGAGAATAAAATGAATTATATGTGGAACTAGATAATTATTGTAATGAAAATGCTAGGATTTAACTACCAAAAGCATATGCATAATATATGCTGTCACATCTTCCTATATTAATCATTTTTAAGTATTAGATTATTTATAATTAAGATTCAGAAACATAAAAAAAAAAAATTTTTACCACCTTACTCATACATCTGAACTAAAATGTCACAGAGGGTACGGTAAGGAAAGTAATTAGATGTTACTCAAATAAGCCTGAACAGTTACCTATTTACATAAAAAAATGGATGTTTGACCTTATGTTGATTAAAGAATCAACTGATGTCGTTATTGGCTCTCTGAAAATTTTATGATTTAGAAGCCACAGCCTTGGAATTTTCATGATTATCATTTTAGGAAAAAAAAAAAATAGCTATTCTCCCGTATTGACAACTTTATACCATTTGACCACAAGGGGGCCATAACTATCTTCTTTGAATTGTTTAAGCATGCCAGGAAGCAGCTAACATTGAAAATAAAATCAATCCATTCTCAAACATTAAGTAAACATAAAGAAACAATTAGGAACATAAAAATCTGATTTTTGAAAGTAAAATGAATATGAAACACATAGGTTTTTCCCATACATGTTACACATTTGAAGCAAGATACTTTTCCCTACTCCTGTCTCCAAAACAGGCACATCTCTGTACCTTCTGAACACACAACAAACTTTTACCTTAAACAGAATCAGTATTAAGTATGATCATTTGTGATAATTGTTAATAAAGCCATTATTGTTCAAGTGCTGCAATTTATCACTTG